GCTCCCTGTCTGATAAATCAAAAGCCTCTCTGTTCCTCAAGGCTCAACTCAACCACTGACCTTTCCCCAGGAATCTTCCTTGACCATCCAAACCCACAGCAATCTCTCCCTTTTCCCCATTTCTTTCACCTAGTCCTCACCTAGTCCTGGCACAAAATGCCAGTTCTCTTCACTTTCCAAACTGAAAAAACATAAGGCCTTGGGCCTTGGTCCCATCTGTCACACAGGAGTAATAATCCTCTGCTTCTTTTTTGCTGAATTAGGCACTGTAAAGTTCTCGTGAGATAGAATGCTTACTAAATCACAACATGTGTATGTATAGGTGCTTAAACATTAGCAGTAAGCTGGGTAATTTTATCTAATGCCTGAGAAAAATGAGTTTTCTTATTTCATGGATACCTAGACCAGTGTATGTGTTTTTATAAGCAGACACACAGAATTCAGTGTATGTATGTCTGAATAGCATTCAGTATAAGGCATTTTTTTTTTTTTTTGCAGTACGCGGGCCTCTCACTGTTGTGGCCTCTCCTGTTGTGGAGCACAGGCTCCAGACGCGCAGGCTCAGTGGCCATGGCTCACGGGCTCAGCCGCTCCGCAGCACATGGGATCCTCCCGGGGCACAAACCCGTATCCCCTGCATCAGCAGGCGGACTCTCAACCACTGTGCCACCAGGGAAGCCCCCAGTATAAGACATTTTAATAACACTTTAGTAGTAAGAGCTGTCACTGATACAGCAATTCATGTGTATACTTGACATAAATTCTTTCCAATATGCATAACAACCCAAGGTACTAGTATAGTCCCCATTTTATAGATGGGGCAACTGAGGCACAGAAAGTAATTTGCATGCACTTATGCTACAACCAGCAAGTGGAGGAGGCAGGATTTGATGCTGGAGGTCAAGCTCTGGGCTTCACTGTCTTAACCCTGAAGCTGTCTTTCACCAGAGTCAGGCTGTAATTTCTCAACAGCACTGGTTCTACCAAAGATGCCCTATTTCCACACCTGCGCTAAGGCAGTAACATGAGGGCCTTCTCTACCAATAGATCTGAGACCCAGTATAGCCATATAACCATAGAATCCTGCCTGGTTCCCTAAGATATGAAAGGAAAGGGTTTTATCATCCAGACAGGTGACCTGCATCCTGGCTGCAAGGAGAGTCAACCTGGGTGCTTTGAGGTACACCATATTTGATCCCCATTCCAGATGAATTAGGTCAGAATCTGAGGTGGAGCCCAAATTGGTAATTTGAAAAAGTCTCCATGTGATTATAATATGTAGCCAACATCAAAAATCACTGGTTTAGACCAGAGAATCTCAAGCTTTTACTGTGCACAGGAATCACCTGGGGATCTTGTTAAACTGTAGTTTGATTCAGTAGGTTTGGGGTGAGTGTGAGATTCTGCAGTTATGGCAAGCTTCCAGGTGATGCCAATTATTACAAAACTACACTCTGAATGATAAATAAGGATTTACACCAGTGGTTCTCAAGTGGAGTCCACTGACCCCTGGGGAACTCCAAGCCTCTTTCAGGAGGTCCATGAGGCCAAAACTATTTTCATAATAATACTGTTATTTATCTTTTCATTTATGTTGACATTTGCACTGATGGTACAAAAGCAATGATGGGTAAAACTGGTGGCACCTTAGCATGCATCAAGACAACGGCACCAAACTGTACTACCTATCACTGTATTCTTCACCACCACAGTACTTGCATTTTAAAAAAAGTCAAGTTCACTTAAGAACATTCTTGATAATGTGGTAAAAATTACTATTTTTATTAAAGTTTGACCCTTGAGTGTGCCTTTTTAATATTCTGTGTGACAGAATGGGAAGCATACATAAAGCACTCCTGCTATATACCTAAGTTCAATGTTGTCTTAAACTTGTCTGACTGAGACACAAGCTAAACTAGACTTTTCCCAAAGAATACCATTTTTACTTTCAAGCCTGAGTAACCATCATTTGTCAGTTTTACAAATTAAGGTTACTCAGGTATGAGTATTAGGTAGACATTTTCTCAAATATGAACAAAGTGGGCCCATCACTCAAACGAAGACAATTTATATCATTTAATGCCAATTAAAAAATTCATGTTTTGGGGGTTGGGGAGGGAAGGACTGGGCGTCTGGGATTAGCAGATGCAAACTATTATATACAGGATGGATAAACAAGGTCCTACTGAATAGCACAGGGAACTATATTCCCTATCCTTTGATAAACCATAATGGAAAAGAATATGAAAAAGAATATATATATATATATATATATATATATAAAACAGACGGATTCTTAACCCCTGTGCCACCAGGGAAGTCCCTCAATTTGATTTTTGCAATATCATAGGAATTACCAAGCATGGTGTTGGAGGTTTTTTGACGTTTTTTTTTTTTGGGGGGGGGGAACATTTCCATTTTTATTCTGAAATTGGATTCTGAACCCCTGAGACTCCTTTTGATAAATTTTTCAGGTTATAAAGGTCTTAAAGGCTTCATTAATAACTCTGCTTTGAAAGCATAAAACATCATCCTCTGGCCTTGAATCTAGTAGGCTCTCAAGAAAAAGTGTTGAAATGACTTTGCCTCCTTTTGAAGATTCATTATATGGGAGAACGGGGAGAAGGACCTCTTGGCTCCAAAAATTAAAGATCCACTGAGAAGCTTTGACACAGAGAACAGACTTGTGGTTGCCAAGGGGGAGGCTAGGTGGAGGAGGGATGGACTGGGAGTTTGGGATTAGCAGATGCAAACTATCATATATAGGATGGATAAACAACGAGGTCCTACTGTATAGCCCAGGGAACCATATTCAATATCCTGTGATACACCATAATGGAAAAGAATATGAAAAAGAATATATATATATATATATATATATATATAAATGAATCACTTTGCTATACAGCAGAAATTAAACACAATATTGTAAATTTTTTAAAAATTCATGTTTTTAAGCAAAAATCAGAAGTTTGGAAAACCTGAATTTACCATCATGAGCTTAAAAGTGTCCCAACACTTAAAGATGCTTTTGACAAGATCCAGCTGTCTTATTAAGCCAGATTTTGCAAAAATGTAAAATGATGCCATTCTTCTCACTTATACATTACTAGTATACCTTGTTTTATTGCACTACGCTTTATTACAGATACTGTGTTTTTTTAGAAATTGAAGGTTTGTGGCAACCCTGCATCAAGCAAGTCTATTGATGCTACATTTGCTCACTTTGTGTCTGTGTCACATTTTGCTAATTCTTGCAAAATTTCAAACTTTTTCATGATTATTATATTTGTCATGGTGATGTCGTCAGTGATCTTTGATGTTACTATAATTGTTTTTTGTTTTGTATTTTTAAATTAAGGTATGTACATTGTTGTTTTAGACATAACGCTATTAACACACTTAATACACTGCAGTATAGGTTAAACGTAACTTTTACGTGCACTGGGAAACCAAAAAAAAAATATGATTCACTTTATTGTGGTGGTCTGGAACCAAAGCTGTCTGAGGTATGCCTGTATTTATGTTAATATGTAATTATTCTATTACTGTTAATTTAAATGAACTAAAAATACATATTTAAAAAATTTCTCAGCTTTAATTTCTAATACAGTAAACTTTGATATAACCCGCATAAACAAAGGTCTTTTGGGTCCTTAATAATTTTTAGAAGTGTAAAGGGATCCTGAGACCAAAATTTTGCGAACCGCTGGTTTAAAACTCACTCACTTTACAGATGGAGAGTCTGAGGGACAGGGCCATACCCAGGGTCACATGGGAGGCTGGTGACTAAGCTCTAGGTCTCCCACTTCTCAAGCTCATTTCACTTAGTTCCCAGCATGTCCCGGATGGGAAGAGATTGCACTATTACCTGATGTAGCTGGATAGCATACGGACCTTGGAAGTCTTTGTCTTTATTAACTGTAAAAGAAAAAAAAAAAAAAAAAAATCACTGCTTCAGGAGCTCAGCCCCAGCTCTGCAGCTGCTCATTCATCTGGCTGTTTAGGAGACAGCATTCCTCCCGGTCCCCAGGCCCTGTTAGTAGCTTACAAATGAACCTAGGGCATCTTATGTGGGGCAAGAACCTCAGTTAATTGATCTTTGCTAATTTTTAATTGGAACTGTGCTCTCCCTCTTTCCATATCAAGGCCGCATCCCCCTATCCTCACTCACCAGCAGGATTTCAGTGGCTTCTTCTATTTCTCCATTCCAATAGTATCTGGAGAAGAGAACAACAACAAAAAAAATTATCATGCTTACAAGATGAGTTCAGTGAAATAAACCTGGCCCAATTAGGTGACTTACTAAGGTGGGAACTTTAAAATCTTTCCAAGCCCATATAAAAAAGCCTAGAGTTGGCCAAGGCCCTATAGGTCATCTAGTCTAAACATTCTAATGCACACTTCTAGCACCTGCCTTAACTTTCCTGGAGGTGAGGGGCTCACCATCTCCTGAAAGGTTTTCACGTAAGATGGTTTTTCTTATGGTGTGCCAACATTTGCCACCCAATTGTTTTCCCCAACTTCCACATGAAGAACCACCTCAGGACAGCCCTACAGAAACTCCTATATGTTCTCTCCTCTAAACTGGGCATCTCCAGCTTTTTCAATGCTCATCCCATACTCTTGGCTTCCAGGCACCTCCCCATCCTTTGGACTGATGCTAACTGTATCACTGACTCTCAAAGCTGAGCGCCCACCAAAGGGTAAATGAAAAAGCACAGGAAGATTCAGGGAAGAAGTAAGCCTTATGAAATATGGAAACAGGTCCAAAAGTTAAAAACAAAGTCAGTGACAATGTTTAGAAAAGAGTACGAGAACAGCATCATGGGAAGGGAAAGAAATTCGGCCTGAGAATGCCTATGCTGACCCAGGGCAAATCTAAGATGACTTAGGCCACTGGCCTCATCTCACAGAGCTGTGGTAAAAGGATGAATTACAAGGAAGGATGAACACATGAGGGGAACAAGGCTAAAATTCTGTTCTAGCTCCAAAGCAGTAGCTCCCAGACTGGCTTTATGTGAATCACTTATATAACCTCTTAAAAATTCAGATTCAAGCCCCATCCTCAGGGAGACTGATTGAGTAGATCCAGGAGGAAGCTCAGGAATCTAAAGCATAGCCAAATTTGGGAACCATAGCTATAGGTGATGTGAGCCACTGAGGGAATGACACTGCTGGGCAGGGGAAAGCTTTCATTATATAGCACTTTTCTGTTCTGACCTTTAGAGTAGACGTTATTTTTCTTTCTCCCTCCCTCCCTCCCTCCCTCTCTCTCACTCATCAGGGGAGGAAGGAGATGAGAAACAGGCTGATCAGAGAGATTAAGGCACAAGACAAATCCTGCACAGCTAGTACTGGGATACTGACATATTTTGATGAGGGAAATGGTGCAGACCAGGCTTAAGTAAAGGAGCTGATGAAATGAAAGGCAGACAATACACAGAAACAGCCTGTCACATATGCTAAACTCTCAAAGTTTTCCAGAGAATCCAAAAGTAATGGAAATTATAATCTTTGATATCCCTAGTTGGCTTACTCAGGAATAGAATGCCCAGTTTGACTTCTTTGCTAAAAGCAAGCTAATTGATTTAAACAAAGAATGTGCAGAAAAGATTCACTGTTCCTAAACTGTAGATTTTTTTCTCCCTTCTCTAAACACAGTCTGTTTTTGCTTTTGTTGAATGACATAAACCCACTGGATGATTTCCTCTGAATAGAAATTGACAGTGAACTACTGATTAATTAAATGCCTTTGAGTTGTTCTTTGACAATTCCCCATTAGTTCAGTGCTCTTTCCACCAGGCAGGACCTGACCTAGCACTCCCACACCCTTCCACTGGCCACAGCAAAACTCACAGTGAGTAGGCCTTAGGCAGGATGTTCACAGAGGCAGTCAGCTTCTTATCCAGTATAGCCCTAAAGCAAAGAGAGAGTGACAGTTACTGGGGCAAGTGTCCAGCAGTTCCTGGGAACTACTCAGGAAACCTAATTCTAAATCGATAACCATTTAGAGTGCCCCTCCCAACTCAAACCAACATGTTTCATAACTACTGTGCACAGAACCTCTGAAGACAGAGTTGTTTATAAGTCCTTCCCTGGGTGGGGAGAGAAGTAGGGAAGCAGCTATGGGAAGGCAGTTTTAAAGGACAGGCCTAGTCTGCTTGGGGAATGGGAATTTATTAGCAAATGGACGGAGAACAAAAAGACCTGGATTCCAATCCAGCCCTGCAGTAGGATGGCTGTGTGACCTTATGCAAGCTCTTTCTTTCAATCCAGAAATAAGTATTTGAGCAACTATCCAAGACAGGCACGACCCCCTCACTCAACCTAACTCCTGCTGTACAATCAGAGGACTGGTTCAGTCGGTGGTTTCCAACTCTTTTCACCACCAAAAAACCTTTTACTATGTCACCTTCTTCTTTTCTCTCTTGGATATGTACTAGGCTGACAGGGTTTCTGGTCTGTAGATATCATGTGACCACATGGAACTGATATAACTCCAAGGAAAAGCAAAAAAAGGCATCCTATCCTATGTCTGTCTTTGGCAAATACAGGCTCTTTTCACTTTTTATTTTTGTGAAGGTTCCTACCACAACCCTAAGAGCACAATTATCATCACCTTTGCAGACCTCTAAAAACTTTCTTTGACAGACCACAGGTTGGAATGCCTGCTCTGATAGTCTTGATTCCTGTGCAGAGCCCTGGTGAACACAATAAAAAGTGCCTGAACTAGTACAAGTGTCATAGAAACAAAAGCACCACCAAGTCATCGATGCAATGAAGTGTCCCCAGGTATCAAACCTCAAGCCCTCGGAATCAGGCAGGCCCTGACAACCCCCTCTCAGGTCTCAGTCAGCCAAGGGGGCCTGGTCTCAGTTCTCTGAAGTGTGTGGCCCCTGCCAGATAACCCTAATCTGAGCCCTGCTTACTGATCTCTCCTTCCCTTGACCACTGCCAAGAGAACTGACCTACTTTCTCTTCCCCTGAGTTTCAGGCTGAACAGTGCTCTATTTAAGGCTCCACTTTAATGTGGTATTACCACCACCCTCATTCCCTTGGAAAGTTCCAGGTGCTAAATAAATCTCTGACTGTAAGGAGAGGCACACGGCACAAATTTGTTTAAGCAACGTCTGCAAGTCTCACTCACTCAATCAAATGATCTGCTGAGAAATTACACTTCATTGGTTCTGAAGGTGGCACGCAAACAGAGGGAGTGAGTTAAACCTCTAGAAAAAAATAATCCATTGCCTCACGGGCCTCCAATCTCTTTGGTAGTGTCAACTCCTGAGTAATCACAGCAACCTGTCCTTGGGTAAAAGACTGTAAAGTTATGGAGGGCTGTGTTATTCAAAAAGCTCCTGTGGCCAAACAAACAAATAAAAAACAAAAACAAACACACACACTAAAGCCCAGCAGTGAGTCACAGATGGAAAGCTCAAGCCCTCATGCTCATCTGAGTAAAGCAGAAGACAGAGCTTCTGGGGTCTCTAGAAACTGCAAAGTTCACAGACTAGAGGCTCAAAGACCAGATACATGCTTTGGCTCTCACGGCATTTAAAAAAAATCTTGATTTTGCTACCAATATTTACTATCAGGGTATTTCACATTTAAAAAATACACATTACCTAGCTTCTCACCAAAAAATGAATCTTATATAACACTTTGGACCTGTAGTCCTACAAGGTCAGATTTAGCTAGAGCTGAGCAGGGGCTACTCCCTCTAGGTATGACATATGCTTCTCGGGTCAGTTTCCACTGTTCTCCCTCTCAACACCTGGGACGAGTAAGGGTTGCTAACTACAGTCATTCTTCAGCACGACACCCCAGTCCACCTCACTCATTTAAGTTGCCTGCTTGTGATATCTTTGTCTGTGACCCTGGCCTAATCCAATTCCCTCTCCCTACGTATGAAATCAAAGCCCAGAGAAGGAAGACTTGTCTAAGGTCATATGAGGTGTTGGCAGCAAAAACGAAACTAGAATCCAGGTCTCCTGGTTCAACATTCAGGTTTTCACCCTAGCCCCAATAAGAGATTTTTCCAGTTTAGAATGTATCTGTCAATGAAGAGCTCTAAGAACACTGCCAGGAACCAGAATGGAACTGAACCAGAACTGAGAGGCAGCAGACTGAACGCTAAAGAGCACTAAAGAAGAAAGAGCACTAAACTGGGGCTGAAAGACCTGGTCCCGGCACTTAGTTCCGCAGGCAGAGCTGGGGTTCCTGCCGGCTAACATTTGTGGGGCCCTCCCCACCATGTACCCACTTACTCTCCTTCTACAAATCCTGGAAGCGAAACCTATTTGCCTCTCTTCTACCCAAATCATTAACGAAAAATACTGAACAGAACAGCTGAGGGGAGAGCTCCACTGCCACATCACTCAGGACTCCAATTGAGACTTCCAGCTCAGCTGGTGGGCTGCACACACACTGCAACCTCCCTTTTACACCCCACACCAGAAACAACAAAACATTTCTCCACCATGCCAGAGCACAGTAAGGGGAACGCTTTACGTACTAGCAGCTAGGAGGAGGCCCTAAAGAAAAAAGGCAGCCCTGAGACATGCATGGGAGCATGTAGGGGGACTTCCTAACTTAAGAGCCTTTGAATCTTTTAAACATTGGCAGTGATCTGGTTTTCTTGGCCTCCAGCAACCTGGAGAATTTCGAAGAATATAAAATTATAATTTTTTCACTAACATAGCCATAGTTTGAATCATATAAGTTAATCATCCTAAAAATTCTTCTTGAGGTGATAAATTATTCTTAGAAACTGATTTTAACTGTTGAATCCTAGATTGTAAAAGTATTTCAAGAATCTTCTTAGTAAGTTTTGCCTGCACCTGCTATGTAAATATGTATGCCTATTATTTTATTTCCTTTGTTCCTTATTACATTTATAGTGTTCCTTTGTAAATAAATGTGCCTTTTTAAACTTGGGGCAGGAGGTGGGGGAGAGAAAATGAAAGCAACAGTTTGTAATCTAGATGTAATGGGAACCAGAGCAGGCAAGAACTTGGAGGCAACCATCAAGGTAAATAGTTGGAATGCCACAGCAGGAGCAGGTAGACCCCCTAAATCTCCCATGGCCCAGGCAACAGTAATGGGATGTTTGATACAGGCAGAGCAGTGAGCGTGGGAATTTTGGACAAATGGCAAAACACTGTCCTAGTGGCCGGCGACAGCCAAGGACAAAAGGGAGAGTGCATGCCCAGAAGACCAGTTACTTGGGTACCCCAGCCAGTAGAATGTCCACATGCCCCACACGCACACTGCAGAGTACCACCTAAGGTCAATTCCTCCATTTGTTTCTACACTTCCCCATAAGCATAGCTAAGAAGATGAGAGAGGTTACAATTAAGAATTACAAAGTATTTGAGGAAAGTCAACACCATGAGAGACTAAAATTCAACAACAAAAAGGATTTACATGAGAAGGATAATTGAAACCAAGATTTTAAAATAAGTACAATTATGTATACTTGAAAATTGCTGAGAGTAGATCTTAAAGAGTTCTTATCACACAAAAAAGTAACTGAGATGATGGATGTTTAACTAACCTTATTGTCGTAATCATTTTGTAATATATACACATATAAAATCATCATGTTGTATACCTTAAACTTACACAATGTTATATGTCAATTATATATCAATAAAGCTGGAAGAAAATTAAGCATAAAATAAGTATAATTACTATCCACAGAAAGATAAAGCAAGATTATTGCATTTATAAAACAAGATCAGACAATTACAAAACAAGAGCAGTTGGTTATTAAAAACAATCTGAAATCTTGAAAAGGAAAACTATAAAATTCAGTCTAAAGAAAACTATAAAGTTCAGTCACAGAAAACAAATTCAACATCTATAAGGAGTTCCAGGAAAGCGTGATGCAGATAGAGTAGAGAGACTATTATTTTAAAAAAGTAATACTTGAACATTAAGACAAAGAGAAATTCCTAAAAACTAGGAGAAAAATCAGAGAGAAAAAGCATTACCTATGAAGGAATGAGACCCCATTCCTGACCTCTCATCAGCAACCCTGGATGCAAAGACAATAGAGACCCCTCTCCAAGCTGATACTGATCCATTTACCTGAATTGGCCTTTCAACTACTGTATTTAGAATCCAGGCCTTAGAATCCTTCTCCTCCTGATACCCGACACCTCACAGATGTAAGCTGAAGTTGTTCCCAGACAGGACCCAGAGTGGCTAATCCAGGGGTCCAGTGAGTTCAGCACAGATCCTGGGTATACCAGAAGCACAGAAGGGATTTCAATTCCTAGCTGCTAAATACAATACTAGGTCATATTTCTGGAGTAATCACATGTTCTTTTAGACAAGAGCTGTTCTCCAAAAGTAATGTAAATAAGGAAAAAACAGACATTCTGGTTAGGGGCAGGAAAGATGGAATCAAATGCAGTTAACCTGTGACCATCAGTTTAGAGGCTATGTGCCCCCAAAGACCGAATTCAACACATAAAACACTATAACTTAAGCTATCATCAATCCTCAAGAATGCTGAGTTGTAGAGCAAGAAGAAAGGGAGCCAGGAGCCAAATCCATTACCCCTCAGCCCCACTAACCCCCTTCAAAGCTGCAGCTATAAAGGAGTGAAGGGCAGGGGAGCTTCCCTGGCAGTCCAGTGGTTAGGACTTGGTGCTTTTACTGCCGTGGCCCTGGGTTCTATCCCTGTTCAGGGAACTAAGATACCGCAAACCTCAAGGTGTGGCCAAAAAAGAAAAATAAATTTAAAAAAGAGAAGTGAAGGGTGGAAATTCAGATACAACAAACAATTTTTGAGCATCTACTACATTTGAGTTACTGGAATAAGGACTGTACATATATCATATAATCCTCTCAACAACCCTGTGAGCTAGATGGCATCATCCTATTCTATAATTCAGAAAACTAGTGCTTAGAGAAGGGAAGCAACTTGCCCGAGGTCACACAGCAAGTGGCAGAGCCAAGATTCAAATTGTTCTGATTACAAGTCCAGTGCTCTTTCCACCACAGCACAGCTGCTTTTAGAAATCTGCCATATACTTGGAATTGGTCTCCTCCTCCTCTTATCATGGTGGGCACCTCTGGGACTGAGCAAAGACTATCTCCAAAAAGACAGCTGGGTCAGGAATTAGGACTCTTAAATTCTCAACCTGCAGAGTTCCACTGTTCTCTTAACACCTTGCGCAAGCCAGCTATCTCTCTGGGTCTCATATCACTTTTGCACCCCCATGCACCACTCAGCATTTTCAGGCCCAGCAGCAGGATCCATCCAAGTGTCATTCAGCCATGCTTCTCATTTCACCCCAAGCAGACAGCTGTGTAGTTCATCACTGGACAGATGGGGTTGTCAAAAGCAAGAGAAGTGCCCCAAAGTGGGCCCTCTGGAGCATCCTGGTAGCTCCCGAGCCTCCTGTGGCAGCACCTAAGCCCCTTCACCATACCTGGCAATATCTCTGGCAATCTGCTCGTTGGGACAGTTGACAAAAACGATGGAGTAAGTGCCGGAGACATAGCTGCCAGTGACAACTGAAAGGAGCTGCTGGCTAAGGGTCCTGAGCATGGGGTATGTCAGGAAAGAAGCAGTCAGGATCTAAACGGTGGGAAAAGAGAAGCACAGATCAGCAGTGACAGGGCCAACTCACTATTTGCCAGCTCAAGCAGACTGGAACCAAAGCTGAGCACCATATTTTCATCCCTATTTCCCATCCATAAAATAATTCCTGGGATCTGTATTGAGTTTTAGTGCTTAAAGTTTTCATGTCTAGATTATTTGCCTCTGCATTTTACAAATGGTAAAAAAAGAAAAGAAAATAGAGGCCCAAAAATCAAGAAACTTGCTCAAAATCACACAGCTTTGGGAATTCCCAGGAGGTCCAGTGGTTAGGACTCAGCGCTTTCACTGCCGGGTTCAATCCCTGGTAGGGGAACTAAGATCCCACAAGCCATGCAGTGTGGCCAAAAAAAAAAATCACACATCTTTTAACTGAAGCCAAGATTAGGAGTCGAGTCTGGATAACCTGAAATCCATTCCTACTGTACAAAACTGCTACTGGAGGTAACGCCAATTGGCATACACTGAACTGCTATCATCCTATGGAGATTATTATGAATGACAAGTTCTTACACCTGTCGATGTTTCAGGGAGTTAATTTCACCTTTGTTCAATTGTTCAATTGTGTATGTGCCAGGTGCTACAGGGAGTCTAGTGGAAAAGGCTAATTCTAAAGCAATGTGACCTGTACTACTGTGACAAACAACTGGAGGGTCCAGGAGGAAGGCTCTACTTGTTGGAGACAGGAAAAGGCTTTGAAAAGAAGGTACTATCTGAATTGGAACTGAAATAATAAGCAGAATTACAAAGGAGGGAGATATGATAATATGTACAAACTCAAGAGGTATGTAGGGACAGATAAGCTATCTAGTCTGCATGGGTCTTAGTCTGTGGGTAAGAGATTGGGAGGAGAATGAGACTGGCTAGAACTACAAAGGGTCAGGCTAAGGAATGTAGGGTTCGTACTCAAGTGATAAGGTGCTCTTGCAGGTTTTAAAGTAGAAGAGTAATAATATGATCAAGCTGAAGGAGGATGGGGAGTGACCAGAAAGGCAGTCTATTCAAAAGGCCATTACAATGTTCCAGGAAAAAGACATTAAGATCTTGAGCTAAGAAAATGGCAGTGACACCGTGAGAGGAAAAGACAGGCAAGATATAATTTTTCTTGCTTTTTTAATGACAAACTTTTAAAATAAGAGGAAATGAAAAGAACTGGAGGACATCTTCTATTCCAGGGTTCTTTGCTGGGGGAATACAAAGGAGTCATTAATAGGGATAGAGGCAACTTGCAAGGAGTCCCACTGTGACTCAGGCCAGACTGAACAAGAGCGTGCTTCTCCTGCCTCCCAGCCCGGGGCTCACATCTCGCTCAAATAAACCTCTGTCCTTCCCACTCCTACTTCTTGGCAGGGCCTGAGTAGCGTTTTTATGTCTTTAGCTTCAGTTTGACTAGAAGCCTGTCTGGGGTGGGTTTCTCATTCCCTCCCACTACCTCCACCAACACCTCCAACCCAACACACTAGTCCTCTGAACTAAACCAGTGACCACACAAGAAAAAAAGAACCAGGCTTTTCAATGAAGCTTTTGGTGACAACTCAATTAGATTAAATGGGAAAAAAATAAAGGCACTAAAGAGGAGGATTTAAATCCTAGCGCCAGTACTGCTGCCTGTGGTCTTCAACAAGTTATTTCCTTTGCCTTCTATAAATGTTACCTAGAAACTGGAGATGATGACATCTGTGCTGCCTGCCTCAGAGCTGCCATGGGTTCAAACAAGATAGGGAAAACAATATATAATCACTAATCCAATAAAGGAAGGGACTGTGGTTTGCTCATCACTGTGTCCCCAGGACAGTTCACGGCACACAACAGGTTCTCAAGAAATAACTTGTAGACTGGTGAATTAGTACACCAGCAAGATGTTGATATTGAGACAAAATAGCCTTGTGAAGTAAGTAGGGCTTTTGGGTCACCCACAGAGCTTTTGGCAGAGAATCGGACAAACTAAAAAACTGTAAGGGGTCAACTACATGACTCTAAGGTGGCTTCCTGTACAGACTCTAAACAAAAGGAGTAATGGTCTGTCCCTCAACCAAAAAAACCATTCCCAAGGAAGATCTAGGGCATTTCAGCCAGCAGTTATCAGTTTAACACTGAGCTAATAGAATTAACTATAAACTCACCTAAAATGTATTGAAACTCTTGTATGAACTCATAGTCTAAGAGGTACTTTGGGCCCTCAGGTATTATCTAAGACAATACTAAGAGGTACTTTGGGCCCTCAGGTATTATCTAAGACAATCCTTCATTTAACAGATAATGTTACTGAGGCAGAACATACAGAAATTCTGTGACAGAAGCAAGACTTAAATCCAAGACTCCTGCCTCCTTTTCTGGGCTCTCTGAACTGCAAGGAGCACCACTAGGAATTGATACAGTGGGCTTATTTCAGCTTCACTTAATCCAGCGCCTCGCAACTTGGGGCAATTCTTCCCCCCAAGGGACATCTGGCAACATCTAGGGACAATTTTGATTGTCATGATTGGGGAGGAGATGCCACTGGCATCTAGTGGGTAGAGGTCAGGACTGCTGCTAAACATCCTTCTATTGTACCATCAATCACACTGAAATACAGACAGTTGTTTACATATGTCTCCCTCATTGGACGTGAGCTCTTTGGCCTCATACATTTCTGTATCCCCAGCACTTTATAACCCCCTGACAAGGAGTATGGGCTTGAGAAATGTTTGTGGACCATATCAACAAAGAATCAGAAGCATGTAAAGGTCTGTTTAGAACCAAAAGTGGACTACAGTATATTAGAAAGTGATATTATATGAATGCAAAATACACACATCACCATATTCCCTAATAGAAACATTATAACGGGAAAAGATTTACTGTAAGTTTACAGCATTTTCATATTTATGTCTTTACTATATACCTTTTCTAATTTTACATTCGTTTAAAATATTTTATGTACCCTTTCGATTATTTCATTCTTTTTTCGTCCTGCAGTATTTGCCTAGCCTTTAAGAGATTATGGTTGACTTTACTATCTGTGTTAAGGCAGAAGGGGCCTCAGAAACCACCCAGTGGTTCTAAATTTGTAATCCATCTGGTTTTAAGGAATCTGTGAATACTCTGAAATTGACATTGTGTTTATACACTTTCCTTGGGTGCAAATCCAGACTTGCACTCACACACATAGACACACACACACAAAATCAAGAAATGTCCCCAAAATGTTGAGCCACTGATTTGTGCCAGTTAATTAAGGGCCAGAGAGGGGAAGAAATCACCAAAAAGTGAGCAGCAGAGCTGGGCTAGACCCCTAGGTTTGTGGCCCTCCCACACAGCTCTCCCTTCCACCACCCCCGCACCCCACCCCACTCAGCCCCCGCCCACTGCGACCACCAGCACCACTGTAGGGACTCTGTAGCCACTGCCAACCTTAACATTTTAAGATACTTCAGAGATGAGAAAACAAAGCCCCCAGAAAAATGAGATGGTAACTGCACTGGAAAGAGGGAAAGAACCTATCATGTGACCCTTACATGAGAACTCACCAGCAGACACCCCTCACCACCCCAAGGACCCTGGCAGTGAAACACAGCCCAGTCACTCCTCCTCACAAGGCAGGGCACAAAGAGGTGCTGGTAATCTTCACATTCACGACACAATCTCCAAGACACAGGGTGGTGCCTCCAAGGATTTTACCGTCCACCCACTACCTGCCCACCCCCAGCTCAAAATCCCAGGAAGAATAAAAGAGAAATGCACGTTCTTCCCTCAATCCCCAGGTTGGAGGTTTAGAGGTGAGAGGGTTCATAGCATTGTAGCGTGGAACACTCACCAAAAGGCATAAAAGGACAGAGGGCCGCGGGTAGCCTGGCAAAGGGCACCGTAAGCCCAGCCTGTCCATGGCGTCGCTGGTAATTTAGCAGCACAGCCTATTGGAACTGTGGCCTGAGGCCGAGTTGCTGGCTGATGCACGGGCACGAAGGGCCTGAACTGCCCTCTCCCCTTACCACCTGCTGCCTGCCCCACTGCCCAGCCAGGTCCCAGCCAGGCTGGCCGGAAGGAGATAGTGGAGGGGGCGGGGAAAGAGGGAGTAATTTTTCACTGGGCAACTCTCCTTCTGGAAACATACAACCCAAGCACCATATGCAAACCTCCAACCCCTGCAAAAGTAAAAATACTAATTTTCCCTTCCCATTCTAACATACACATACAAAAAAACCCATAAAATCCCCAGAGACGTACAGATTAAAAGACCTAAGTTTCTTAGATATATAAAATCGTCAGCCCAAACACAAATACACATACACAAAACTCTTCCACTTTGCAGGGGTCCCCAACGCCCGGGATCTAATGCCTGATGATCTGAAGTGGAGCTGATGTAATAATAATAGAAATAAAGTGCACGATAAATGGAATGCGCTTTAATCATCCCGAAACCATTACCCCCCCCCACCCCCGCCCCAGTCCCTGGAAAAACTGTCTTCCACGAAAACGGTCCCTGGTGCCAAAAAAGTTGGGGACTGCTGTAGAGGACCATCCCACCAAATAAACCCAAATAAATGAAGCATACACGTGGCTGCCTTCCCTTCCCGGTCCCCCACACATCACTCCCTCCTCCTAGGACCTCCCTTCTAATCCTCTCTGGCTTAGAGCACACACTCTGGCTCCTCATTGCTCTCCCTGTGAACTCATTTGTCTTTCCAGGCCAGCTGCTCTGTGCAGTCTTTCCCAAGGTTAATCCCCACAGTCCTCTCTTTCCCCTAAGGCACTCTGTCCACACTTCGTTGCAGCATTTAACATCAACTATTAAACAAATCTTTAAAAGCAGCAAGCTAAGGACTGACGCCCTTTGGGGATGCAGAGTCCACTGTTGTCAGGGTTTCCAATTTTTTAATCCAGCTTCTTAAAATGAAATATCTTAATTTTTAAATGACAACACTTCAGGGGAAGAAATTGAATACACAAGGCCATAAGTAAATTTTAAGCCAAGGAAACTATTCTATAGTTTGACTGTGGTAGTGGTTACACAAACTAAAAAATTCAACAAACTATACACTTAAATTGGTGAACTGTGTTGTATGTAAACAGTACCTTAAAGGAGGGGGGGAATGCTGAAAACCAATTCAAAATTGTTTTAAACTGGGCAGATGAAACAAAACACACCTGTTAGCTAAATTGGCCTGCAGGCTGCCAGTTCACAGCCTCTGTTTATTTTAATAACCTGTTTACCTGTCTGTCTCATTCCTTGGGACTATAAATTCTTAAAGGCCTGATACACTTCCTGGCAAAGTGTCTAACAAAGTCAGTTGTAGCCCTAGTCCTATCGTTGAGACTATCATGTCCTATCATGTGGACTCAGGCAAATAACTTAACCTCTCTGAGCTTTTTGGGGTTTTTTTGGTAAAGGGAGGGCTAATACCTCCTTCATAGGTTTAAAGTGAGGATTAACAGAGACGATTTATATGAGTCCTTTATAAAACGTAAGACCATGTCAGCGTTTCATGAGCAAGTAGTCTCATGTCAACTACCAAACAAGGTTAACTCAGAAAATCTCCGTTTGTGATTGAAAAACTTAGCGTGTGTGAAAAAACAGGGTTAGAGAAAATGAGGCTGAGTGATCCTTAAAAAAAACGCTTTATATTCAAAGTCCACTAAAATAAATCAAGGCTATGATCTTTTAAATTTATTACGTTAATAAGAAAGGCCACTGTTAATGACCATTTTACCTTAGATCCTGAGATGATGTCCCAGAGTTTAGCACAGGATCCCACAGAGATTATGCTCAATAAATGTTTGTCGATTTGGTGATTATAAGGATGGTCATGATGAAGGCGATGCTGGGGCAGCAGGGGAAGGATGGCAAGAGATGAACTGTTATTTGGAAGAAACTGCTTCTGGATTCTCTTCTTACTTCAACTCAGGCACTTCTACTCTCTTCAGATTCAATTCCAAGGTTAGATTCCAAAAGTCCAATTCTGCATTTATGGCCTTGGCAGATTCTTCAGATCTAGTAAGAGCCTCAGTGCCACTGCCTGAGATTATAAGCTCTTCTTCTGGAGGCTTCTTAACCCTCTTTCTCTCCTCCTCCTTACTGGATTCAGATATGGACTCAGAATCCTCTTCAGAGTCAGATTCTGTACCCACATCTCTTTCACCCACACTACTTCCTCTTTATTGTGTCTTCCTTCTCTTTCTTCATCTCCTTTGCTTTATTTTGAAGGTTCTTTTGGGCCTCTTTACAGGTATACAACAATTTACTGAAATCTTTATTTTAAAGGCCAAACTTCAGTCAAGATCAATTGCAGCTTCAATGAGGTCTGACACCTGGTGTAAGACAGAATTGTTTCCTTAAGTTCAACTTTATCTCTGGTTCCAGAGATTTGCCTTCTTCCTCATCTACAGATATAGACTCTCTGTTATTGCCAAAGCTTGAAACTTAAGTAGCTTATTAATTTCACTTTCATCAATATCGATGAATTTAAAGCCCATCCATTCAGACTCTATGATTTTTTTCAACTTCTATATTAGCTCTAGGGAAACATGCATAATCATTCACAACATCATCCCAAAGGTTCCACCAGGCTTTATTGAGAGGCTGGTTTTTATATCATCCATCACCTCTTTTATTACTACCAAAGCATCATTAAAGTTGTACTGTTCCCATGTTTCTTTCAAAGTGAGGCAAGGGTTTTTTTCAAAAAGTCGGCAAAGTAGTCAAACATATGCTTGGTGTATTACCTCCTGAATGCTTCAATTATACCCTGATCCAAGGGCTTAAGATAGCTACTGCCCTCCAGATGGAGAAACACAGTATCATCATTGGGATGAACAAAGAATGGAGTCTGGGTGACTGAGACCTCTGTCCCAAAACAGTAACACTCTGAAGGCAAGATTTTTTTCTGTTAAATAACTCCAGGTTCAATGAATAAAACAATTACGAAACCAATCCAAAATGAGGGCAGCTGTTAATGATACTGTTAGTGATCGCTGGAAAATAGGAAGGCGTTTTATAGTTTTTTTCCATAAAACAGGTGCTGCTTCATAAAGCAGCCATGGTTTTGTCACCTGCGGCACTGGCACAAAAAATGAAAGAAATCCGGTCCTTAGCTTCCTCTAAGCTTTCCGGAATTTTGTCTTTTTCCCCAAAAGTATGCGAAGGCAAGCACTTCCAAAACAGGCTCATCTGCTTGGCGGTGAAGACCTGCTGAGGTACAAAGCCACTAACTGATCAGTTTCTGGAGTTGCGTGGAATACGTGGATGCCGACTGGGTATTTAACGGTTCCTCCTCCCCTATCAACCTCGAATTCAGCAGCCTATAGCGATTTCTAAACTTCTCCAACCATCCCTTGCTCGCATGAAACTTCTCTGGGTTGCCCTTGCCAGTGGTTTCCACCAGTTGCATGTAAACCAGTTTGGCCTGGCTGCAGATGGCCTTCAGCGTCAGAGGCTGTCCCCTCCTCCTTTGGTCTAATCGTAGACCCCAAAGATTAATTCGTCTCCATCTTCTCGATGTTTACGTCCTGAGGAATGCACAGCACCTAGGAGCAGACGGGCGAAAACACTCTCCATGCTGGTCCTGACCGCCTCCTCGTTTTGCTTAAGGGTGCGCAAACCCTTCTTCCAGCTTCTCGAGAATTTTCATCTCGTCTTCCACACACATGACCCTCCGCCTCCTCTTAATACGTGTCTGGCCCGGGAGCAGGATGCCCACCGCCTTCGCCCCGCCCCAGGCGGCCTAAGCCCCTACCCAAGCCGCAGCGGCGTCCACCACAGCCCCTGCTGAGAGCCTGGTTTTAGAGCCAGGGGACCGCCCCCAAGGCCGTTCAACCTGTGGCTGGTCCTCATTCTCACCACTCCGCTTGCCGGGCATTTACCCAGCCTTCGCTCTCAGTGAGACAGAAGCAAACCAACCGTAGAGCCGGACAGCAGGACCAACTGAGCAGCGCCCAACATGACGCCGCGATGCGACCCCGTAACCACCAGCGACTCTAGTCAGCCCCGCTCTCGCGAGGCTTGGCAGCCCCCGACCGCGCGCTACCCGGCAGCTCGCAACTCTATTGGTGCAGCCCGGGCCGTTTTGGCCCAGCCAAAACTCGGGGAAGGGAGTCTGCGCCGGGCTGATCTCGCGAGGCTTGGAAAAGCGCGCCGGGACCCGGGAGCTGGGAGGGTTGACTGGCGAGGCCGGGGGGGGGGGGGGGGGCGCCGGGCTGATCTCGCGAGGCTTGGAAAAGCGCGCCGGGACCCGGGAGCTGGGAGGGTTGACTGGCGAGGCCGGGGGGGGAGGGGGCGTCATGGCGGCCCAGGCGCTGTCGCTTCTGAGGGAGGTGTCTCGGCTGGAAGCGCCGCTGGAGGAGCTGCGCGCTCTGCAGTCGGTGCTGCAGTCGGTGCCTCTCAGCGAGCTCCGCGAGCAAGCGGCGGAACTGCGCCTTGGCCCGCTTTTCTCCCTGCTCAACGAGAACCATCGGTGAGATGACCCTGCAGCTTGAGCTGGGGAGAGCAACACCCCCAAGTATGGAGACGGGGATGGGGGTGGTGGTGACGGGGGAGGCTTTTCCCAGTCACAGTGAAGGTTGAATATCGCCGAAATTTCAGAGAGGGAAGGGTCCTGGGCTGAGAGGCGAGAGACGGGGTTCAAGCCCAGGCTCTGAGGTGGCCGTCGCCTGGCCTCACTGCCTTCATCCTTGAAATAGGAGGAGGAAAGCAAGGTTGCCCACCTACGGGGAGGACTCCACAACCACGTATCCAAGTCCTTGACTTTTTCCCACCTCTTAAGAAGGGGTCCTATCCTGGCAATTTGGAAGGATCCATCGATATTTTAAATTCATATACCTTTGATCCAGTAATTCCCTGTTACAGAAATTTAACATGCAGGTATACTCACACACAAAATGTACTGTATA